TAGTGTGGTTGTAAAAATGTGTACTAACAAATCTTGGGTCACACAGTGTAGTTGTAACAATGTGTATTAACAGATCTCGGGTCACGCAATGTGGTTGTAATAATGTGTATTAACACATCTCGGATCACACAATGTTGTTTTAATAATGTGTACTAACAGGTCTCGGGTCACACAATGTGGTTGTAATAATGTGTACTAACAGGTATCGGGTCACACAATGTGGTTGTAATAATGTGTATTAACAAATCTCGGGTCACACAATGTGGTTGTAATAATGTGTACTAACAGATCTCGGGTCACACAGTGTGGTTGTAATAATGTGTACTAACAGGTATCGGGTCACACAATGTGGTTGTAGCTAGGACTATTTCACCAACCTTTGAGACAACAAAATGACATTCAGATAAACCTTAAGGAAAAAATATTATTACACCTGATAACTATTCAACTATGGGTAGTACAAATTCTACATATTACTCATAATTTCAAGATATTATCTCTGTTGTTTTAAGGTTCTACGGGAGTGGAACCTGTAATAACGTCCAGATTACACTAGAAACATCCCAGGTCATTATGTTTGTAACTGGATTCTTCTGGAACGTTCTCAGAGAACGATGTGATCTTAGATCAGTTGAACATTTAGTGAGTGAAATAATTTTGGTCATTTTTTCTCAGAAGAAGTGAGAAAGCACCACCTGAAACAAACAAGAGAAAGAAAAAGCAGATGTTTCTGAAAAAGGAACTGGTCGAAGGTTTCTTTCCTTAGGCCAGCCAACGTAGGATTTCCTTCCTCATCCCTCCTCAAGCCAGCTAATGTAGGTTTCCTTTCTCAGGACATCCTATTTAGAGCTTCTATCCTCGGGCCATTCAATTTAGGGCTTCTCTACTCAGGTCATCCGTGGGAGATTTACTTCTTCAGACCAGTCGCACGGCAACGATCAGGAAAAAAGTTATGAGGGCTCAATGGTTTAGTAACTTATTTTTGCCAAGGAAAGCAACATTAAGAAAACCTGAAATTATCAGATATTGTTTTCCAAATGAAAAAGCTTAAACCGTATTTAAAACAACGAGTTCAATTCGAAGGATAATGTTTTAAACCATATTTAAAATAATGATACAATTTTTGGAGCACAGTGTTTGAAAACATGTTTCAAAATTAGTGTTTGTGGATACTCTTTTTCCTACACATTTACTACTTTGAAATAATAAAAAAGAAGGGTTTTAAAGTGTTACATCTTAGTTAAGTTCCATAAAAGCAAAAGTTATTTAGACTTGTGAAATGAAATACAATACAATGAAGGAAATTCAACCGAGTAAAGTTTTATAAGTGTGTTAGTTTTTCATCCACACCACGAATGAATTGAAATATTTCTGTCTCATTCCAAGCAAGAGACACATAGCTCATAACACTCTTCTGTTCGAAAAACTTAAATTTGACCTTTCTTCAAACTCTGTTAAAACTAGTTTTTAGAGGGAAGATTTTTTGGGGGGTCAAACCTATTAACATGTGTAAATTAACGAGAAATGTGTAAACCTCATACATTGAACTAAAAACATCATGAAATAAAAGAAATACTTGGACAACTCAGTGTTTCTATTCGTTTATTTACACAAAACCACTAGTGTAAGAAGTATGAGAAACAAATAACCCACCTTACATATGAAAAAGTTTTATACAGCTTGATTTTTGTAAACGAAGCTTTGTACAAATATCTTCAACAGTTAAATCGTTAAGTGTTATCACTACAATTTCTACAGATAAGACGAATAACTAATATTTAACATAATCAGTTCATATCATGTGTATATTTTAAAGGTTATAATAGTTATGTCAAAAATGATCTTACAGAAAGAAGACCAATTAACATATGCTTTGTTTTGTTCTTTCTGTTATCATTGTTATTGTACAATAGTTCGTATAGGCTTATTTGTACTTAACAGCATCAGGCCAGTTCCCGAAGAAACGCTAATTCGACATTTCACATTCACCACTTGGAATGTTTATCAATTAAATATCTGATTGTGTTCATATAATACTTTGTTATTTACAGAGTTTAAAACAAAACAACGATGAAGCTCCATTGCCAGAAGAAAAACTAAACTCCTAGACAAGAAGGATAGTGTTTAAAAGTTCAACAGAAGCTACTTAAGACTACTGTCGTGTTAAACAGAAGTTAAATAATTAAAGACAAGCAACTAGATAGTATCAGAATATTCAATATATCTACTTCTGTCTTTTATTATTTCTAACTTATGTTTCCTATTTTTTACAATGATTATGCTGCATTATTAGATCAATACATGGATTTAGGACTAATCTAAGCCTCCTGGACTGACCGAACCTCATGAGATATTATTAGGTTTACGGTCTAAACTATCCTTAACAATGAGGGTTCTTAACTAACAAAACAACTCATTCTAATCATTACCAGTAATATAGGTTGAAAATGATATATTTAGGTATGCTCATTACTTACTTTGATCAGAAGTTAACATTAAAAAGTTAAACATAAGCTATCGAATAGTATCAGAAAGTTATTGACAAGATAGTGAAGAGAAGCTGAAAGTTAAACACAAGCCACTTAATAGTGTTAGAAAGTTAAAGACAAGCCACATAATAGTGTTAGAAAGTTAAAGACAAGCCACTTAATAGTATTATAAAGTAAAAGACAAGCCACTTAATAGTATTAGAACGTTAAAGACAAGCCACTGAATAGCACTAGAAAGTAAAAGACAAGTTTTTGAAGAGAAGTAGAAAGTTAAAGTCAAGCCATTGAACAATAGTAGAAAGTTAAAGTCAAGCCATTGAAGAACAGTAGAAAATTAAAGACAAGTCACTAAAACGCCTTTGATTAGCAATTTGGTTACGAACCTGAGATGCTAAGCTATATAATAAAGAATTTTGGCTTCTATGTTATGTGATTAATAACTTCGAATGTAAGCCATCAAATTATTTAGAACTTAGGATGCTAAGCCACCAGATTAAATATTTGGGATGCTAAGTCCTCTTTTTAATAACTTGTAATGATGCTCAACCATTTGTTTAATAACTTTTGATGATGCTCAACGTTCTGTTTTCTAACTTGTGATAATGCCCAACCTTCTGTTTAATAACTTGTGATGATGCTCAACGTTCTGTTTAATAATTTTGAACACTATCCCATCTGAAAGTAAATTTCTTAAGATCGTAAACCAGCTGATGAAGATCTTGGGATGCTGTATAACCTGTGATACTAAGTCATCATGTTAAAACCTGGGATGATAAACTATCTGGATATTAACTTAGGATGGTAGAATATCCTACAAACCTGTGATACTAAGCCATCTTGTTAAGAACTTGGGATGATAAACTATCTGGATATTAACTTGGGATGGTACGATATCCTAGAAACCTGTGATACTAAGTCACCCAAGTTTTAACAAGTTGACTTAGTATCACAGGTTTGTAAGATATCGTACCATCCCAAGTTAATATCCAGATAGTTTATCATGGTACGATATCCTACAAACCTATGATACTAAGTCAACTTGTTAAAACTTGGGATGATAAACTATCTGGATATTAAGTTGAGAATGTACAATATCCTACAAACCTGTGATACTAAGTCAACTTGTTAAAACTTGGGATGATAAACTATCTGGATATTAAGTTGAGATGGTACGATATCCTACAAACCTGTGATACTAAGCCATTTTGTTAAGAACTTGGAATGATATACTATCTGGATATTAACTTGGGATGGTAGAATATCCTACAAACCTGGGATGCTAAGACATATTAAAAATCTGTGAGTTATCATAAACCTAGGATACTAAACTATCTGGTTCAGAAATTGGGATGCTAAACCAACCATATAAGCACGAGGGATCCTGAGTCACTCAGTTGACGCCAGGGATGCGAAACCATACGTTTTTTTAAGGACTTGGTAAAGCAATTAATATGAAATACAAACTTTTTATCAGATGTTTAAGCTGTATTAAACAGAAATGGTATGTTTTTGCACGAAGTTTGATAGAGAAATTGCTATTTGGAAGAGATGATGCTACAGGTTATGGAAGTTGGCTGGCTGTGATGAAGAATCACTTATATTGTGTAGATCTGTGCTTATTCAAAACTATATCACTGCTTTCATTATCGAAATAACGTCTGTAAATATAAAAACTTTCTCCAGAAATGCATTATTATTAACGTTTATACGTATAATAAACAGAAACGTGCTTCTCCAATGTTGATGTTATAAGATTTGATGTTGTCATGTGGCACCCACTTAAAGAAGAAAAGTTGAGACTTTGAAAAAACAGTTATAATATATATAACGAATCAACTACTGAGATGTATTCTACCAAATTATTTAGCCAGTGCTACATCATTATCCACACAAACAACATGTATTATTATACAGGACCCTTCAACTAATGGTACAATGTGTTGTTGTACTTATTTTTTTTTAAATAATGTCATGCCGTGCAATTTTACAGAACTTTCCAAATAACGCTACAGTAATTCATTGTATAGCGTGTTATTGTTCAGAACTCTTCAAACAATACTACAATTTGTAATTTTTCTTCAAACAATGCTTTGATGTTTGTACATATATCTTAAAGACTTATTTTCATTTTCACCAGAGGTGAAATTTAAAAGAGAATCAGTGAGGTAGAGGCCTAATTATTTACACACTTAAATTAATTTAGTGGTGAAGTAAAACGGACTCAAAACCCCAGAAATATATAATGTTTCGATGTATTCTTGTTCAGATCTCCTCAAACAATGCTTCAATGCATTATTGTACAAGATTAATCAAACAATGTTGTATTTTGTTACTATATTGCATTCTATTGTTTTACAGAACTCTTTTAAACAGTGCTACATTATATTATCATTTTACAGCACCTTTTAAATAGTGCTACACTATTATTTTACAGCACTCTTTAAACAATGCTGCACTTTGCTATTTTACAACACTCATCAAACAGTACAGTGCTTCAAAGTGTTACGGGACTTTTCAAACAATGCTACAGTATTATATTATTGAGGACTCTTCAAACAATTCTAGTGTATTATTGTGTGTTATTACAAACACAAAATATGTAATCTCTTATTCGTAGTTATTAGCAATTTTAGATGCACCAATCACTAATGTAACCGTAATAATTATTATTTTTTTATTATGTCTGTTAGTCAAGTGCATAAACACAGTTTTCATCCCTGAAAAAGAGGTTTCATTATCCCGAAATAATGAAATATTCAAAATATGAGGTAATTTGGAATATAGTCAATTCTGAATGCTCAAAATTATGTAAATATATCAGGTAATGTCGGATTTATTTTATACTGTTTCAATTTTATTAACTAGTGTTATTGTGTTGGTCGATGGACATTATCTTTTAGAGCCACTATATCCGTATTATGTTATTGTAATAGATAGCAAAGATTTGTCTTTAATACCACGTGTTACAGTTTCACAGATTGGAGTCTCTCCTCATTACAACCAGCTCTGTGTTACAGACGCCTTTCCTCATTAACACCTTTCCTCCCAGTGGCACAGCGATATGTCTGCGGACTTACAACACTAGAATCCGGGTTTCGATACCCGTGGTGGGCAGAGCACAGATAGCCCATTGTGTAGCTTTGTGCTTAATTACAAACAAACATTGACACCAGTTCTGTGTTATAGCGTTGTCACAGAAAGCAGACCTTGTTCTTTAAATCCATGTGTTATAGTGTTCACAGATGGCCGTCTTCCCTCATTGCCACCAGTTCCGTGTTATATTGTTGTCACAGAAAGTAGACCTTGCCCTTTAAATGCATGTGCTACAGTGCTGGCAGATGGACGCCGTTCTTCAAGAACGCCTTTATTTTTTTTACGTCCATTTTTCATTTCTATCCCTTCAGTTTCCCTTTTTTCACACGTTAACAGCGAATCCTCTCTTTCCTCCTTCACTATAGCCATTGTTCTACGCATTTCTAGCTCCCGCCGTTTTCGATCACGTGCCCTCTCCAGATGACGTTTTCGCTCCTCTTTGGGCCAATAGCGTCCGACTTTCAAGTCACTCATTGCGTCATCATCTGTAGTTAATCCACATCTTTCTTCGTTGATCTTAAGAGCTCGTTCTTTGAGGAATTTATTTCTAAGAGGGCGTTTCGCAATGTATCTTGATCCATCAGATCTTCGCTTCACTTTCCATTCCATTTTCACGTCTTCATCACCTATTGCGCTGCTCAAAGCATTACTTTTGTTAGGGCAGCTGTGTAATGGCCGACTGGACATCGGTGATAGTGGCGCCCATAAGATATTCTGCTTACTGCATCGCTGTTGGTAATGTTTCTGGGCAAGAGCTTGGCGAAACAGCTGTTGCTGGAGCCATATCGTGTGCTGTAGGTTTTGTTTGTTTGTATACATGGTTGTACAAGGATATATCGAAACGTAATTTTGAAGATTTTGCGGGTGGGGAAAAGGCCACCTGCTAGCTATGGCTATAAAGCCTGGGGAGCAACGAGAAGTAACCCACTCACTTCCAGATTCTTGGGCACTAGACTGGCAGCAATTGCGACAGCTGTCACAACTAACCACGCTGGAGACATCTGAAGTCCGGTGCTGTGTTTCCTTGTCTTCCATTTTTGGAGCCAGGAGTGAGCCCTGGAAATCCATGGAGCCAAAAGCCACACGTACAGTACCAGAACTAGTTCCTGTATCATAAGCACTTGAACGCTCTCCTTTCTCCTCCAGATGTTCCACAGCTTGTTTTCTCAAATCAGCAGTGTTTCTGATCCATCGTTCTACCGATTTTGTCTTTCCCCACAATCGTCGAAATCTACCAATGGACCTCTTTCTGGAATCGCTTGATTTAATCCCTCGATCATGACTGCTTATAGATGGATCTGAGCACATACGTTCTACATGTTTTAAATCAACGTCGTGAAGCTGAACGTTCTCCAGTGCATGGTTTAAGTTCTCTAAATCACCATCACAGTTGTACGAATAGGAACAATCTACAAGGCTCGTGGTGCTGGTGCCGACACATTGAACGGGGATGATTTCACGATAACCGTACACTTTGTCTTCTGAAACCTCTCCATCATTGTTTAGATAGCAACTGTTTTCTGAAGAAGTTTGTTTTCTCTGGAAGCGCTTTTCGAAATTAGCACCTGGGTATTCATTCTCCTTAGTCTCGGTCTCAGAACTCTCGTCGTATTTTGTACTCTCGTCCGTCCTTCCAACACCACTGTCCTTCTCGTGGCGACATTCGACTGCCCAAGTGTCCGTGCCTTCGTCGTAGTGGACCTGCAGAAACAGATATAAACTTAATGCAAATAAATGAAGCTAGGAATATGAAAGCAAAAACAGATTATACAGGAAAGAAATTAACTTCAACTGCTAATATTTCGACTACATGTAGCTTTACTAGTATCTTTCTTCAAATGAGTCTTAACAAAAACAAAAAGAAGCCTAAATATGAAATTATGTTTACCATATCAATCATAAACTCCTTCCGTAACATAAGTATAAGTGTCAATCATTTACTCCTTCCGTAACCTGTCAGACGTGTCAATCACTTACTCCTTCCGTAACCTGTCAGAAGTGTCAATCATTTACTCCTTCCGTAACCTGTCAGACGTCTCAATCACTTACTCCTTCCGTAACCTTTAAGACGAGTCAATCACTTGCCCAACCTAGCATTAACAACCAAGTATATAACTCATGCAAGCCCAACCT